TACAATTCGTCTATAGATGAAGTTGTCCGAGTTAAAACATCATGTATAATTTAGTTTTCCTGAAGTAAACAAAATGGTTTTTACATTAACATTTTTGAAAATATCTTTAAGGCTATTTACCTTATAAAAGGCGTTTATGGATAGAGGCAAATTTGGCCCAGTCCATCATAAAATGTTTTATTGTGTATGTCTCCTGGTATATGATGCATTTAGGTGGATCCTCATCTTTTGGAAGGAAAGAATGTGTAATGTTGGCATGACCAGTTCTGATTCTTGATAAGAATACATGTTCTTTTCAGGAAAGATTGGCTAACCTACAGAGAATTCTGAATTGAACCCTTTATTTAACCTGAATTAAAACTACATGTGCTATATTACTTTCAAGGCATTGAAATATGTTATAATTCTTTTTTGGCCAGAGATTAACAGGAGCATAAAAAGATTATCTCTTGGTGTAGTTCAAAATTCCCTGTAGGTTACACAGATTAATATACACTTAAGGAAGGCCAGAGGATGCTGTGAATGAAACGTAGTGATAACAACAACAAAGATGAGGACAATAGTCCGAATATAAATAGTGTAAATAATGATAACTCCTGATCCCAGAAATTCAGACAGAAACCTGGATTATTTTTTCCTAATAACAACAATATACCAAACAATGAATGATGATCATGAGCTATATTGTTATATTGACATAGAAGATTGCTATGCGACATTAATGGTCACAGAATAGCAGACACAGATCATATGTACGAGATGTGGTTCTATGACATCATACCACATGATATACCAAAGTCTTCCAACAGAACCATGGTCTAGATGCAATAATATATATATATATATATATATACACAGAGAGAGAGCTGGTGACTCGTATTCAAGAATACCCATCTACTAGGGTGGCTAGCCAATCCCTATTGCAGACGCTTGCTCAGGCGCATTTGTATTTATTCAACACCCACAGAGCCCACCTGTGATTTATACTGCAACTATGCTAAGCAGACATTAGTTATAGTTTCTAGGAAAGAGTGTGTTATTTAGCATGATCAACAATTTGAACAAGGCCAGCATGCTCAAACCCTCAGCCACGATGACTTGTGACTTCATGCTAGCATAGCTATCAACTGCACCCAAAGGTTCAATCTACCCAATTTCACTTACAAGGATTGGGTCAACCCATGGTATGCTTTTCAGGCACTCTCCAAAAGGTGCTGTATATTGGGATCAACCCCTCCAGTCTGATAACATCATTGTCCTTCCTGACAAATCGACCATGGTAATAACCGAACCTGGGTCTCATTGTCAGAATGTGAACATTCAAACCACTCGGCCACAATATATATAAGTCCAAAGAAGTTTTAAGCAAAACAGGAATAACAAAAACTCATACTTACAATTAAGAGAGAGTTGAAATTTCTGAGACATATAATGAGGAAAAATGGTTTAGAGAATTTAACACTCACATGATACACTGAAGGCAAGAGGATCAAAAGTTACTGAGCAAAAAAAGACAGAAAATTGTGGCGAACAATGACCACCCATGTCCTGAAGGGCAACAGCACATAAAAGAATGTCATAACATTACACATATGAGGGTCGACTGGAAAGTTCATAGGCTGACCAAGATATTAATATATATAGACACACCAGTTGGTAGACTTACAGACAAGCAAAGTTACCAGAATACAACAGCTCGTCAAGTAGCTGTTGTATTCTGGTACACTTTATAGCAGTCTGTGATTTTAACAAAGATACTTTTGTAGAAGTCTGTTTTTTTTTTTTCAAATAGGAGATAGTGTTGTAATAGTATTATGTTGTATTTGATGCAACACATGGCTTGGGGCTAGAAAGTCACCCTGGAAGGAAAACAAAACATGTCTTGTCCATACAGCATCTTGTAGGTGAAGAAAGAAAAAGAAAAGAAAAAGGGTTTGTACAATGCCACCTAGAGGGTATTAGAATTCCTCTGATAAACAAGGTTCGGTATTCCTCACACAAACTCACTGAAAAAGTAATTGATTGAAGCTTATCAATTCGGGGGAAAAATGTAAAAGCAGTTTTACATACCCTGTTCTACTGCAGTATCCATTGTACATAAATGGAAAGAAATTAGTGTAGCAGCAATTGCAAGATTGAATCCTCTGAAGATTTCAGTATGAGGAGTGACTAAAATCACGACAACAATTTCAGTCAGTCCCAAATCAGGCGTTAAGGATATCCAGACAAATCTGAAGAATGCTTGAGCAGATGTAAAACTCTCAACAATTTGTGAAACAGGGATTTCATAAATGGGGTTGCACAAGTAAAGTTACAACTGAAAAGAAAAAGAAAATAATATAAAAAGGTGAGTTTAACATTTATTAATCCTTAGTTAAATGATTAACTGGAATAAAGTCATTTTTATCAGACAAAACAAAAATGTTATGAAGAGTTTAAAAAAAAAAAAAAAATTTAAAAACAGTATCCAATATATAAAAAAAAATCCCAAAAGTGAAGTATGGTGGTAGAAACATTTCACGAGGATTACTTTACACAACAGATACAAAAACAAGGGAACCATCTTTTCCCAGAGAGCAAGCAGTTTCAATATATAGTTTGATCCTCTTTCAAGGTATTTTTTTTGTTTTGTTTTTTTTTTTGTAAAAACATGCCCCTAAAATTTTTACACACTGACTCATACTGTGTCCCTCAGAATAAATGCCCAATATATTAACCATTAAGTAAATTTAGGTAAAATTAACACAAGTAAAATGAGAAGAAAAAAATGGCACAAGTGAAAAGAAAAAATTGCACAGAACCTTTTCATATTACTTCATTATTCAAATACACCTTTTTTTTTCTTTCTTTTTTACTCAAACAAGTTGAATGGTTTTCCTGTAAATAATTCAGATTTTTTTTATCAGAATAGGAAACGTTTATCTCTAGGGAAAAAAACAGCTACAAAGCTTATGTTTAAATAAAGAGACTTAACTGTTCTTAAAATAGAATATTGATTATTTTTTTTATTTCTGTTTTGTGTTATCTTTCTTTGAACATTTTTATTTTAATGATTTTAATTACAATTTTTATTTTTAATGACATTCTAATGATTTAAAAAGCAAGATTCTTTCATCAGTTCATTTGTAAGAACAACGAAGAATGAAAAGAAAAAGCATGTATTTTAAAACAATTTTTTAAAAAATATAATCTAGTTCCTTACAAATGCACTTAATACTTCTTTATAACACTTAACATTACACAGTGAAAGTTTAAGATCAATTTTTAGCTAAGTATTGAGTTATGGATTATATTTTTTTTAGTAGTAATATAAAATGAATGATTAAAAAGTCTAAGTAAAATAGTCTGGGTGTGTTTTATACATTTACTTTTGGTAGAAGTGTAATGTCTATTATGAAAAAAAGAAAGCCAGATAGTTTAGTAAACATTGTTTGATTTTGTAATTGTTTTTTTTTTATTTAGAATTAGATAGTGTTATATAGGAATAAAGTGTCATTGCTGACACTTAAGTTTGAGCATAGATTGCCTGTGAACAAACACAGACAATCCCATTATTAAATTAAGTGGATCATGTGACCATAGAGGAAATGCATAAGTAGAAAGCAGCATGACATCTAAGCAATCACTATTTCTATTCTATCCTTTATTACTATATGGATCACTATTCTCTACTCTATTCACTATACTATTTCTCTATTCGGATTACTATTTGAGTGTGTTTTATTGAGCAAGTACTATTAGTGCAAGTGTTATTCGAAGACACCTGACACCAGTATTGGTCAACAGCATGACTATAGTTGTAATCTGCAATTACAAAATCTCTACTACAATAAGCATTACAAAAGTGACGAGGAGTATTCGTTGGCATTACAAAAGTGGCAATGAGTGTTGATTGACATCACAAAAGATAGATTTAAATTAGCCCATTTTGAGTGTATCTGTTCTTTTGTCTATTAGCTCATATACTACATTATGTTACTATTACTTTTGTGATAATCAGTCATATTATGTATGGTTTGGTCTTAGGTTTATTGTCGAGAATTCTGACATTAGTGCACTTTCAATGCATTTCCTTCTTAGTGAATTCTATTCCCGTCTTATCAGATTGGCATTTATTAAGACAAAATTGTGGTCAGATGTATTACGGTGAACGAAATGGAAAAAAAAAAAAAAAAAAAAAAAAAGGTGATTTATGTAACATATTTATAATTAATAAAACTGCCTTACACAACATAAGGATTTTAATAATTCCATATTTATCTCACTTGTTCCAGGAGGCACTGTATTAATGAGATGGGTTTGTTAGGTATTATTAGTGTGGTGTCAGTAAGGTTCTCACTAGATGCCTCCATACTTGTGACCTTGTACCAAACTGAGCGAAGCAAATGCCAAATCACTTATTTAGGAGATCAAGAATTTTCACAGAAAAATTTGGGTAAATCTATCGACAACTGTTTTTCCAAGAAACGTGCAAGCAAACAAGGCTAGATCATAAATCTTATTCGAACTCTATGCAAAACACTAAAAGTATATCAAAAACACACAACTTCAAATAGAGTTAAAAATAAGGATACAAAACCAATTATAATATGAAAAAGTCAATAAAATAATCAAGTAAATAAAATGTGATTTATTCCTATGATAAATTTAAAATTTTCTTACATTCTCATGTCATCATACTGATAAGCTAAGTCTGGCACAAGGCTAAGTAGTGAGATATAAATGATTGTTGGTTGGTTGTTTTTTATTTAGCGGCAACCTCTACAAGTCATCTAATGCCAAAATGTAAATAATTTGTATGTATTTTTATTCTTAGACAATAATCGTTTTGTTTTAAATGATACAAGTTTTACTAATTAACCCATAGTGTGGGAGAATTTGATTCATAGATTTCCCAAGGGTACTTGTAAGTGAATATAATGAACCCAACTAGAACTGGAACTTGGCTCTCCAATTAATAATTTTGAGCCTTTATCTATTACACCACCCGCACTTTAAAGCTTACAGCAACTGGTATTCCCAAGCAGGCACCCATCTAGGTACTAACCAGGCTAGTCGTTGCTTACCCTTGGTGATCATATTGGAACTGGTGTTTCAGTATGATGTGGCCATAAGCTATTTTGATTTATGAATCAAACTCAACCATTAACAGAAAGTTTTAAAAGCTAGTACATGGGTAATTAGTCAAAATAAGTAAGACACCATTTGATACCACCATTTGAGTACCTGGGTACTTAATGAAATTAAATTACTTGGTTAGCCCCTTGAGTATGAGGTTATTTACCTAAAGTGTTGTCTTAATTATACATTATACTGTATAGTTCATTCCAACCCCTAACACAGGTAAATTTGATATGAAAATACAATTAATTACTAAAAAAATGTATTTTTATATTTTTATTATTGTATTGTTAGTCATTTTACTATAAAAATGTATTGTTGGTCATTTTGCTAGTGTTTTGATGTTTGGTTAGGTCTCACTATTTGCTCACAGCAGGAATCCTAATAGGTGCTACCACCCTGTGTCAGAGTTAACCAGAGAATGACAGCAATTAAGAGCTGGTTCAAAAATTAAATGAAGGAGTAACAGTAAAATCAGTTGGCAGCAATGAGTATAATGGGTTTGAATGTTGAATTTATATATATATATATATATCACTCATCCACCACCAATATTTGCTGTGTCACTATTTACATAACCATTAAAGTAAATTTCTTTTCATAAGTTTTACCCATCATATCATGAGTTACATATTTGATATTGATAATAAAAACATGTGAGAGATGTAAAGAGATTTTATACACTTCAATATTACCCTCTATTCATAGCAGAGAATTTGATTTTGTCTGACATAAGATCATAATAATAGGCAGGTCTGGTGCAAGAGTTTTGTGTCCTCAATCCCACCTTGAATCTATGATACCCACCGCTCTACCACATCTCAATTTTCATGAGGTGGTATATTCATATAAAATGCAAATTTTATTGCAACCTAATTACGTACAATAATGGATCCTATGTAATATAGGTGAGCAATTCAACTAGAAAAAATAGAAAATAAATACAATGTATCTAAATACAAATTTGAGACAAATAGATCATTCCATCTTAAATAAATCAACAATGTTTTGTGGCAATTTTTAACATCAACTTGATTTTTTTCCTTGTTAAAAAGCAGAAAAATTTTAACACATCCAACATTATGGTTAAAAAAAAATAGTGAATTTTATGTTGTTTTTCTGAGAATGACGTCAAAATCCACCAAAATTTTTCATCCTTTAATAGTAGGATGTACTTAGTTTACAGACCGCGACAGCTATTAGGAAGATATGATTAAATATACTTTAATGTTTAAAAAAACAAAAACAAAAAAAAAAAAAAAACTTATTACGTATTATTATTGTTTAGGTAATAAGCATTATAACATAGCACAAATAGCTATATTGTGGGAAAAGGAATTTTCAACAAGAAATACATTTTTTATGTATTTATGGTTATTTTTTAAGTTTTATCAAAAACACACGTAGTTATGGATAATAAAAATTAATTACTAATTTTTTTAATTAATAACTATTTGTGCTCAGTTGTTGACATTAATAGCTATCGGGGCTGATGTGTTTAAAATTTTGGAATAATGCAATAATAAAAATTTAAATTTCATCTTTCTGATAGATGTCGCGATCTGTTAATTTGTAACATATATAAATGTAGGTAGAAAAAATAGCAAATGTTGATAAGATAACCAGGGTGACAAAGCACTTCCTGGTCCCTTAATCAGGCTTGGGCTCAGTTGGAGGTTTAGGGTTAGTACGTTCCGGCCTTGATAACAGGATTTATTATATGACAACAATCCAAGAGAGAAACTTATTAAACTACACTTAACGGTTTACGATGACATGAGCAAAAACAAAAATTCATAGTTAATTATGGAATACCTAGAAACTGGAAATAGGATTGTCTAAGAATTCCGCATGCAAATGAGGCGTAAAAGGCTGACTCATAATTTATGCACACTGTCAAGTGCACATGACACATTAACAAATGCACCAAGAACTTCTTAATATCATTCAATAAATGAACAAGATTGACAAACCAGATCTGTACAGCTGAAATAGTTACTTCTTTTGCACCTAAGCTAGAGGTCTGTGTTTGAACTCCTATAAAAGCAAGGACTTTGAATACTGATTTTCTAAGCAGGCAAATAAGCCAACATCATTTGAAAGATTAATAAACATAACACATTCTTTCTACTGTAGCGGGCGGTCCAGAGAAAGTTGTAGATTCATTCCTGTGAAACTTGTGTGTCGCTTCCAAAAGTTGTTTTGAAAATAAAGGACAGTGGGTCGCCTTTAGTGGTTCGGAATCACCAATCGTATATAATGGAACAGTGAGTCGTCCAGTGGTTTGGGTTCACACTTTATCTGTTTCAGTCCAGAAGAGGTGTTAGTTCGTAGAAAATGGTGTTGCAGGTCTGCTGGTTGCTACGCGTTGAATATGCCTCGTTTGCGTTGTGTCGCCATATTGTCCAGCCAAATCAGATCATGTCGGGGTCACCACTTGTAGCAGGCCTCTTGTGACCTCGTTCACCCCTTTCTGTGAAACGGGGCCACTGGACCGCCCGCTACACTACTTCCCATTTCACGTATGTTTATTAAATATCAAGTAATCATGGGAAGGTTTCTGAGTATTTTCCACATCCACAGGCGGATGCAGGAGAAGGTCTAGCAACCTGAGGGGGGCACCGACTTTATGGTGCTAACTTTAACTTGCTCTATCATTCTGGCAAATGTAGTAAAAAGATAAGGATCTTTTTAAGGAGATTATCTTTAGAACGAGAAACGTTCCTAAAAGCTTCAAAGGCTTGGAAGTTGTAAACAGCCATGATCACAGATTTCCTGAAAGAGAATGGCATATAGAAGAAGCTCTGTAGAAATTACATGTTGCGTCTTGGTAAATAAACAAGTATCACAGTAAAACACAGGAATTAATGATGTAAAACAATTCATATTCACAGTTCTAAATATCAGATCCTCGACTCAGAAATTTCACAGTGTTGAAAATCAGACTCATATATGTAGTGAGTCCTGATAAAAATAATTTAAAAATAAAATATATAAACAAGAAATAAAAATAATTCAAATTAAAATAAAGCATTTGCACTTTTCTTTAAAACCCTTTCTCTCTTTCTCCTTCTCTCTCCCTCTACTTCTCTCTCAACTAACAAGAGGGTAACCCTCAAATAAAAAGAGAAAGAATAATGAAAATAATTCAAATAAGTTATTTGCACTTTCTTTCAAAACCCTTATCTCTTTTTCAACCTCTCTTCATATACACACACACACACACACACACTTCTCTCTCAACTAACATGAAAGCAACCCTTAAATAAAAAGAGGAAGAAGAAAAAATACCAGAAATTTAAGGGACCAGAGCCTACTTATTTATAACTATAAGTCTAAATAAAAGAGGCTCCACAAATAACTTTCACTACATAAAAAAGAATGAAATAGAACAGAACGCCAAAAACTAAAATAATTTTGGCCAATCAAAAAAATGGACACTAAGAGACTTGTGATGTTAGACAAAACTGAGCTTCACACGAGTAAATCTGGATCCCCATCAAACAGGATATAAACTAACAGCCATATAGGATAATGGCAAGAGATGGAACAAAAGATGTACCGCTACAGAAATCAACCATGCATGAAGTAGTTAAGAGTTTATTGCTAATTATATTTTTTCCTCTTCTTAGGACCAAGAAAAAAAACAGTAGATTGACACTAACCTATTTCTAAGATGACTACTACCACTAGCACCATAGGACCTTGAAACTACCCACTACCAAACGAAAACAGACTTTCTCCAGACTGCTACCAATATCCACCTTATAAACAAATATTTTGCAACACAAAATATCAAAGGACTCACTCTAAAGCAAATAAATAAAAATATATATTTTTTATACCCTTCATTCGCTTTGTTTTATTCCAAAGTTTCTGGTAAATAAACACCACGAAACCTCTGGCACGATGACTATCAATATATATACCTATATCAATGCACATGTAGCATTAGCGGTCATCAGCAAGAAAAATGGAGTTGGCAAACTTGGCTCTTGCCTGTTGTAGCATTCACCTTAGATCAGTTGAGCTGGCTTCGTCAAACGAATTTGCCACATCCTGAACGAAAGTCAACCATTCTCTGCAGTTGGATGCAATTGTGTCAGTAAAAGCTAACCAATCATGATTTCACCGGTGAGTTCCGGACACATGTGGACACAAGAACAGTTCAACAGCCTCTTTAACCATCTTAAGACACGTTTTCAGCAGTCCACTTCCGCCAATCTTGTGCCAGATGAATCCACCCAGTTTTCAATGAAGAGCATGGCCATACCACCAAAGTTGCCTTGAACAGAATTCGGAAAAGGAATCTGCGGAGGGCCAAGATCGCCTACATCCCAAAGCTACATGATAGTTTTTGAGAGATATACTAAGTGTTATTTTTTTTTTTAGAGTAAAACTTAAGAGTCAATATTTGACAATTGAGGAATGGTTAGCTACTTCTCTAGTAGATCAGTTTGCATGTGTAGCAAATTCAATCTCACAAATGCTCCACTATTACGGCCTTGTATCAGACTAAGCAAAACTTGTTAAAATAGCCACAACAGGTAATCAATTATTTCGTGGCCTGACAGATTATTGCCTTAATTTTGAAAATGTGCAATATTCGTTCAATGGGAAAAAATGGTTATTTCTTTTAGCGTCTTCTCAAGTGACGTACTTAACCGTTAAGTACTGCAAGTACGTCACTTGGGAAGACACTAAAAGAAATAAGTCTTAACGTCTACTCATAGTTTTCCTCGCAACAGTTTTCCCGGAATTATGCCACCCAAGTAATTCTAACTTGCCACTTGCAGATCCTTTTGGATACGTGTCACTGTCACAAGCCTTTCTGAGTAAGTTCTTCCTACAGTGAGTGTTTTTTTTTTTTTTCAACATGGCATCGTGCCAATGTCGGGTGCAAAGAGGTTTACATCATTTTAACGTGTTTACTAAGCCTCCTCTCACATTGGACAAGGTAAAAATGGGGGTTAGAGAATTGGGTTGAACGAA